TGGCCAAGAATCGAAGCCGTTGCTGAGTTTAGACTACGTACCGGACACGATTGCTTGGCAAAACACCTTCACAGATTGGGATTATACACTCAACCCACATGCCCTCTATGTAACCTACAGGAGGAAATGGAGAAGACCCACCTGATTCGGTGTCCAGCCCTAAAGACAAGTACGGAAAGCCAAAGATACTGGGAAGCAAGAAGACTGCTAATGAACTGCTATAAATGTACCCCCCCCCTCTTGGGGGAAGCTGAAGTCAAAGATTAAGGGCTAATGATAAATATCATAAAGCCTGCCATTTGAAATAAATAATAATCGATTAATACGGTGACAAATGACTTTATTGAGCAAATGCAAAATCGTGTAAAATTTGTAGAAAAAAGGTTAGAACATTAAACATCGAAATTAGTCTAATCAACAAGAACAAGAGATGACAGCACAAGAATACTAAGAGAGAAGTCGATGACAAGAAACAAGCGGATTGCAATACTATCCCGCATATATAGCGATCTCTCCATGTGCTAACACTCTACGTAAAGAAACCACGCCTTCGGCAGAGTTCAACCTCCCCACAGAGTACAGCATTCTGGTAACTCTGGCAAACAAAAGCAGCACCATTACGGCAGCGTGGATCAATAGGAGCCTCATCTACTTGAGTAGTTGGAGGAGTAGGAGTCGGAGTCATGCTCATGGCTTCACAGTACTCTCCCATTCCACAGAGTTCAACCATCTTGGGATCTGAGCAGAAGCTCAATGGACGATCCTTACACATCTCATTTCTCATATCCCCAACACTCTGTGAAGTCGAATAGACTCGGCATTTTTCAAGCACCTCAGAACCACAATAACGGAGATCAGGCGAGATACATATTTCATTCAATGGGCGGTCGCAATCAACTAATTGAAGGCCAACTCTTCGCTCTGACCCTTTAGAAGGAGGTTTGCTACCCTTCCAGACATTCTTCTGGCAATAAGCGGTCACACCACAACGGGCAGCAACTTCAGTGTCATAGCAGGTTACTGAGGGACCCCATAGGCAGGAATCACTTCCAAGAATCCTTCTAGCTTCGGACGGGGATGACGGTAGTGAGGAAACCTTGTTACCACAGAGCTCATTTTTCTGAAGAAAAGAAAGATACACAAAGAATCTCGGCTCATTATCGAATGCTTTAAAAGTAAGATAATGTGAGAGCAATCAGTTACCATGCAAATTGATTCAAGTTTGTCAAATGATGTACGACCAGATAAACGTAATTTGCGAGTACGAGCACACTAAAAGAATAAAAGGCTGGGTAATTATTGCGAGTTGATATATAATGGCTAGTTAGAGCCCAACCGCAAGCCATAATTGGACGGAATCCAATCAGATTATCGAAACGATTAGCCCTGTTTGTCCTCATAGGTGCATACGCAAATTAGCTTTAATAACAATTGACTGTAAAGCTAGGCAGACTTTCTGAGTTAAAATGACTTGATCCCAAACGGTTTTTCTGCTGACTTTGTTAATATCGATGAGTTCAAGGAGTTAATAGATTGGACTCCTTCTATCCCGTCATGGATACAGCAAGATCCGTCGTAGTGGAAATCCTACTCAATTCCAAAATAGATTTTAATTGGATAAACTCAGTTTACACGGGGTATCAATTCTCACGTTCTTTCGGATTCAATCTCTTCCACAATTTAAGGTACCAGAGCTAGTTTGTGAAGCCCATGGAGAAAAAATGTATTCATTCATTCTTGGTAAGTAGGAGCCGAGTCTAATAAGTCAACCCTATCAAGAACGTGGAAATGAGAATTCGCTAGGCACATGCTCTAGAAAAAACACTGTTCACTCATTGTACTAAATATCAAATAACTACTTTAGGTAAAAACAAGTTAGAGATTTTCATTCCAAGTGAAAGTTGATTCAAGCATTCCCCGTCTCAAGTGCAGCGCAAATTTTTTTCAAAGTAAATATTAACTCAGAAAAAACCCTGCTTTTCTTCGATCATCATTCTCAAAACTCCCGATATTCATCATTATGCATTAGGAGCCCCAGAACAAACTTCAAACTGTAACGACGATGCCCAATTGACTGAAGCAAATGGCTTATTCATGAAGGTCGAAATTCTGGTGAAAATTGGATGGCAGATAAGGAAAGGCATCACGAATTACTTCTCTAAACTAATGTATTTAGGCTTATACCTATTAAACTCCGTAGAAACTTTTTATAAGGAGTAAAAACACTAATAATAAGACGGCACTGTAAAACGATAGTAGAATATGAAAGAAGATAGATAATTCGATTTAAGACTAGGAAATAACTCTCATGGAGAAGAGAAGAAACCCCGAAAAAGACTTTTGAAAGTTATGCAGCTTCTTCACTAGCTCCTCTTCATCATGTGAGATTTCAGTTAATGGTGTAGACAGGTTAGATTTGACATACCACACTCTTTTCCTCGGGATTCACGTAGATAGAACAATCCACACCGGAGCTACCATAAGTGAGCCTTTGAGCCAAAAGATTTCTGCAGAATTGACAGGCCTCAGAGAGTTCCACCAACGGGCGTTTGAAGTTAAGACAGAAGGATTCAAAACCGCACAATCTCATTAGGCGTGCATCAGAGCATCGTTCTTCCTTTGTGCTCAGTACACTGCAATCGTATCTGTTGAAATTAAGGAGGGCTAGTAATAAGACAATTAAGGAATCAATGGCATTCAATTAAGAGGTCAGCAGCCGAGCGTACTTGCGAACAGTTGGTCGGCGAGCTTCAGAGTCACCTTTGACAGAAGGTTGCCAGAAAAATTCCTTGCAGAAGGCTTCACGGTTGCAGAGTTTTGCTGTATAGTTGTCACGGCAAACGACAGATAGATCACCAGAACAGAGACGCTGGACAATGGAGTGTGAACAAAGGTGAATAGTCTGAAGAAAAAGAGCGATTGTATTAGAAGGAAACACTAATCAACTAGGGAGTCATATTCTATTGCAATCAAGAGATTAACTCACCTGACAAATTTCTTGAGGTGATACGTTTTGCACAAGAAGATCAATCAAAACCTGTGTATAGGCCATGACATACTTATGACACTAAAACGAAGGACTCAAATTAATAAAGGGTAACAGTCTAAGTGGATAAAATTGAAGTGAAGCTCACAGTAGATTTGAGTTCGCTAGTGGGCATATATTGACAGACGGTTTCGAGAACTTTTTCAATACTATCTGCAGTAGCATCATCTTCCAGACGAGTATAAATGTAATCGATAATTTCCTTACAGACGTCGCATTGGTCAGTTTTTGGCGGCAAGTGGTAGTAGCAGATAGAGAGTTCTTCGCAGACTTTTCTTGGAGGGTAATTATGCATAAACATTTCAAGTATAGCGGCAGTATTCTGTTCCACCATAGAACGACACTTATCAGAAAAGCTGGAGGGGGCAACACTGCAGAGTGCCTCCAAATAATGCTTAATGCTATCCATTGTAGCATTATCTTGCAATTTGATATACAATTCAGCAATGATTCCTTCACAGATAACACAGCTGTCACCAACCTTCGACTTAGGGAGAGTGGGGGGTACTTTGCAGAAGCCCAATTTCTATACTAGAGTTAGAAAATATATATCGAAGAACTAACCTGACAAACTTCTTCAGCTGGCAACCCTTGAACCAACATGTCGATCATTTGAGATCCATATTTATCCACAATGCCTTTGCACTGCAAAGAAAGAGAATAATAAAAATAGAGTCAAGAGGCATAGCGTAACCCACACTCCGAAAAACGCAAGGCGTCGATAATGAAGCAAAATTAACTCCAGCGAAAAATTAAAAAATCAAAGTTTGAAACTTAAGCATAGAAATCGAAAAGACCTATATGAGATTTCATCGAGTCAAGATAATGAGATCAAAAACTCATCTACTGATTTAGAGGGCCACCAATAAGAAAATGTTTACGGGTAAGTCCTCATAAGTGATTTAAACAAGCCTATCTGTTGATGAAGCCCTCGGAGAATATCCCGCTATAACCTGACCTAATCTCGGTTTTGGGTTGAAGGGTTACAAAATTCTAACTTAGTGAGGAAGACTCGAGTTCATTTACTGAGTGCAGAGTAGACAATTAGTGTAAGCCAGTGGCACATCAATTCTCATAAGCTCAGTAAGAGGTAATGGCTTTGCTAAACCTTGATGCTCATCTATTGAAAACCACACTAGAGATACATAAACTCCTATTTCAAACTAGAAATGCAGTAAACTTTATAAGCAAACAGATAAAAAAGAGACTCATTCGCTTACTTCATCTTGGATTAAAGGAATATAGGAGCAGACGCTTTCCAATTCTTTAATAATCTCCTCTTTAGTGGCATTTTGTTCCATGTTTTGATATACAGTATCGATAACTGTTTTACAGAGCTGGCACTCCAAGCTCTAGACGATAAATAAATAAATAAATAATTAGTGAAAGTGGCAATACAAAAGAATAGCGAAACACTTGAACTCACTTGGAGTTGTGGAACTTCGAAGAAGTCACAGAGTCCAAGAGACATGCAAAGGACTTTTGGAGTCATTCCCTCCAAAATTTCATCAACTATGAAATCTGAGTACTCTTGGAAAAAGTCAAGACACTTGTGTCTTAGTTCCGGAGGGAAAAGATAGCAAACTCCTTCAAGAGCCATAATAATAGCGGCTCTACTTCGATTGGTCATGATCGTCTTAAAGACTTCTTCAAACATCTTTTCACACAGAGGGCATACAACAGGATATTCGTGGGCTTTTTGAGAAAGACGACTGTAGAGGGCCGCTTTGAAGCTCCTGGCATTAGAAGACACGTTCTCCCCGCATTGTTTGAAGAAGAAACAAAGATCAGTAATGTTTAGATTTGACGCATTATCGACCATATTGTCAACTTCACTGGAGACAGCGGCTTCACACTAAGAAAAGATAGAACAAATAGGAATACAGACGGAAATATCAAATTACCATAGACTTGAAGTAGCCGAATGATTCACATAGTTTGTCTTTGATAACATTTTTTAAAACCTGATCGAATTGGGGGTCCTTAGTTTCATCCCGAATTCGAGAAAAGACGTTAATGCATTCGGTGCAGGCACCCGAATCCTCAGGTATTTTAGGAGGAGTGAGACGGGAATTGAAAAATTCGAATCCAACAGGAGACGGTCTCTTGATCCATGAATAGGCCTCATCGGATTTTACAGGAGATTTAGACGGAGGCTTTGGGCTAGAACACAGCCCGAATACGGAACAAATTTGACTAGATTCCTGATAATAAGTAAAAATTATTTGTTGTCGTAAATTAAATTACTATTTCGCTGGCAGCGAAATCCATCAAAACACCAATATAAGAATCAATGGTGCGCTTGCAGACATCAACAACTTGAAGTGGAAGTTCAAAGCAGATTGCCCTCTTTAAGTAAGCAGAAACAGCGCTTTTTGTATCGTTGTCTTGAATTAACAGCCGAACATCATCAAATATCTTCTTACAGTCATCACAAGTAGTATTTAGTTTAAATTTTAGGCTCTATAATAGGATATTGTAAAATTGTAAAATGACTACCGGTAGAACAAACGAGTTGCTATAACATTGACCCATCAGACTGCACAACAGAGACTCGTCATTCTACTAATTTAACGAATATACAATATTTTACCAATTTTGAATGCAAATCCTTAATTTCCTCGATTCCAACATTCGATTTCTAAATGAAAATATTATGGAAAAATTCCTAAAATTACCTGCTGCCTTTCAAGAACCGTCAAAAGCCTAGAATAGTTCTTGTTTGTTAAGCTGTTTTTGCATTTTTGGCAGTCAACTGATTCAATGTCTATTTTGAAAACAGTTGCATAAAGCCAAAGATCTCTGCACTTATCAATCATTCCTTCATCCTTAGCAATAAAATAAGATCTGCATAGAGAAGCTTCACCGGCACCAGAAAATACCAAGCCCTCTCCGAGTGCCAGCGAAGATATGCATATCAAAACGCACAGAACCACGAACCGCAACATAACCCAGAACTAATTTCGCAATTAATGTAAAATCGCGCGAAATACTGACCTCAACTTTGATTAATTATAAATAAACCACAAAGAAAGTACAGATGAGGATTATGACACCATTATGATGACAAAAATATTTTAATTGCTAAAATATTTGAGACGATTTGTTGAAATTTAGCTAAGCTGAATAAAAACGATTTTGCCTTGAAATTTCATACTAGAAATTTAATCTTTTTTTCTCAAAATCAAACAGAAATGCAAAAATAATAGGACAAGTTAGTGTTAACTTTGAAAATTTTTTTCTGTTTACAAACTTATACTTCTTGTTCAATAATAAGCAAACAGTTACCTGCACTAAAACATGTCACAAATAATTAAAATCTATAGATATAAATTATGCCTGCACTTCTGCTTACTGACACGTATGTTTATCTTCAGATTTACCTTAATAATAATCATAAAGACTATGAAGTTATCATTCGCTTCCCGAGAGGTATATATATTAAGTACCGATGGCAAGCCATATCTCTCATTTCAATTGCCTGAAACGGTCAATAATCAAAACCTCTTGGAAGTTAGAGCTTACTACCCTGGTTATATAAGACTAATGTCACTATTTACAATGTTTAAAATGTATTATATATTAACTATAAACTTAGTTTGCCCTGTTAATTAAGGATTTTACTCATGCTCGGGCTTCTTCCAAATCACGTTTTATTTTCATTTCCGTTCCCTCTTATTATTTCGAAATTTTTTATCTCATTACATACACCCAAATTCACTCTACTAAGCACTCATTGGCAAATCTTATATGTTGGAAACCAATAAATTTCATTATGAGATTAAAATAACATAAATAAATTGTTATTTTCAATCTTAATTAGGTTGCTCATTTATGTTCACATGATTCTGGAAATATACTATAATGCCAGAGAGGACCCAAATTTTACATCATCATTTAGTTATCTGAAGATAGAAGGTGATATCTTGGCTTATCAGGGTTTCGTCGTGGCCATAGTGATAACTATTGCAGGCCAAGATTAATTACAAATTATTTATATTAAAAGGAATCTCGTTTATCGTAATGTTTATTTTCTCTAACAAAACAAGGGTCCTTTTGCTTGATTGTATTTAAAATGAGCTCATTATTACTAATCAGGAAATTATCCTTTAATCTTGTACAAAGTTCCTTTCCTGTTAATGCCGTTTATAACGCCCCAAGATTTGGTGGGTGCTTTAATTTGAAGACTTATGTCAATTAAATTCCTAACATTTTCACGGTCTACATTAAAAAGTATAAGTTTGAGAAATCTAAAATGTATTTCACAGTTATTCCAAGTTAGATGCATGCATTAGATCAACGTGTTTGACAGCTCTGTAGTTTTCGCCGAAAGCACATTCTGTTTTATACGTCGTTACCTCCTTTACTTTAGCTGATTTGTATCGCTTTTTGGGATAAATACGCCAAAATCCCGGCACTAATTCAATTTGTCAGAGAGAGGGAGAGAGAGAGAGAGAGAGAGTATGATAACAGTGTCTTCAACAAAGTAGTCCCAAAATAGGGATAATCAATCAAAGCTGTTAGAAAATGGCATTTGATAAACTGCGAACTTAACTAAGTGAAAACATGTTAACCATATATAAATACATTAATATCTGCCGATATTTATTGAAATTTTTATTTGAATATCATAAAAATACGTATAATCGAATTATTGGATAAAATAATACTTTCTACTCAAAAAATTCCAGAAGTATAATCATCACATTAAAAAATGGAATTAGTCAAGGAAATGTGGGGAAATAGGAAGACCTTTAAGACTTACATAAAGTGGTGTCCTTCTTCTTATTTTTAAGGCTGGAAAGTCTTTTTTCGTCTGCTTTAATCAAGATGCCCTATAGATGGGGAGACAAGTTATTTCTGCTATTTCAAAACATGTAGCTATTTCAACAGAGTCCAGTTAAGAAAATGTATGCCTTCTTCAAATTTATACGTGGTAGTAAAAACACCTCAGGACTGTTAAAAGATTTTATATCCCTAACTACCAAGGCGTGGCGAACACTGTCGTTTTGATATGATTTTGAGGTTCATTGTAGAGATTGATCTTCCTGAGACAAGAGTACCAATACTGCGGCCATAAACTTCTTTTGACAACATACTTTCAGAGACAAATGGCGAACAATGGCTGCGGTAACTTTCATTCATTACATTTAATATTGTCCCCTACTTACTTGTTTAATACATTCCCTTATCGTACGGTAACGAACGCGAACCATTCCAAAATATGGCTTCAAGCCCTTATTCACTGTTGATTACTTACTATTTCGGGTTCGGTAGGGTGTGCGATGGACTTACCTCCACGTGGTGCACCCTGGGCAACGTATACTCATACGGCAAGAAAATCTATTAACTGGCAGTTGACTTCTCACTTCAAACTACCACGACCCCCCCCCCTGGTTGTCATATTCGACCCCTTTCGCTGTACTCACCTTACCTTTTTCTCTACCTTTGTGTCTATCTGCCTCTTTTACATCTGTGAATCGCTCTTCTCTTCCCCACCCCTCGACTTTCTGCTACTTTGATGAACCTTCCTTCTGTGAAGCCCGAAGTCAGCTAAATGGCTAATGATAGCTATCATAACGCCTGCCATTTGAAATAAATATTCTCGTACAGTTGGCTCTACAATCAGATGAAGAATGAAACTTTGCTGGAATAAATGAAGGGTCTTACTCTCTTTTAAAGCCGGTAGTTATCCATGTCGCATTGGATTCATTTGTTTATTAATATGATATTGGACACATATTCCTTTTGTAGGGCTTGGATGTCTCAAAATGGACAACGTTTTCTGCTCCAGAAATGCACAAGCTGACTGAAGTTCCCTCATTTGAATCATTTCGATCCATAATCGTCAATTCGAACTCTAGTGTTTAAACTCTTTTCTGGGCTCCCTATTTTCTTCGACATGCTTTAATTACCCTTCGTAGGTGCATATTACTGGGCTATAATTTGGATTACGAAAATGAAAGGGCATGTCTGTAGTAATATTACCAGAGACGAACGCAAGCAGATTTTAAGTTAGCCAGAGATTTGAGTTGATATTATCTAATCAGTGGGCGGTGGTGAGCACAGTGGCCTAGAAGGTGGCGGGGGAGGGGAGGGGGAGGTAATAAAGCCATCTGTACTTTTTCTTCTGTGCATTGGTTGGAAAGAGATTGTGCGTTTGTAAATTTTGAGAAACTATTTAAATTACGTCTAATTTTAGATTATTCGATCGATTACGATTCATACCTAGCATAACGTCACTTTGCCTGGTGATCAAGAGGACAGGTCTATTATGATTAACGATAAATATAGTTGAGGATTTAAGTGAACTTATTTTGAACAAATCGATCAGACGATGGCCGAGAAGACAGATCAAGGTGCCTCAATTAGCTAACACAGAATCCAGTGTTGATTAAGACTTTGGACATCACTGCATCCTTGATGTCAAATCCATATGTTTTGATCAGTGATAATTACATTAATTAATTGGGGTTCAAGCTACGTCGTGCAACATTCAGAGAGTGAAATAGGATAAATTAAGGGTTAGTGGAATCTGAAGGATTTCACACTATCTCGAATAATACGTCAATTTAAATCGCTTCAAGTGAACATTATTCCTTCTAAAATCTGCCTGAAATCTGTGCAATTACTGAATTTCATCCCAATGCGCAGGGGAAAGCTATCGATTTTTGGTTTTCACTGGTCTCTGTAACGTGTCATAAAAATATCGATTGAGAGCTTGCAGGAATTGGACCTTATACGGCATTTTATTAAAATTTACTATATATGTATGAAAACGAATGGAAATATTTCAATTCAATGAAGGCGAATTAACTGGTTTGATAACTCATTCAATGTGTCCCTCGCAATATTTTCGGCCGACTTTAGAAATGATAAAAATTGTTCAAGCTATCTTTCATTTACTAAACAGAGTGTGTTCCAGAACCTTCCCCTTTGTGCTCGACATGGACTCCCCACGAATACGTTACTTGAATAAACGTATGTAGGCACTTCCCAGATTTCTGCATTTGAGCACAGCGGGCGAGAATAAATGATTGGTTTTGACATTTTATGTTTCGAGGGTAACAACATAAAAGCGACAGAAATTCTTTAACTTGTGCGGTAATATAATCATAAAGTGATATCAACATGAGTACATTTAAGAACGGAATATAAGATGATTATCAAAATAAAATATTTGCATTCTAATTAAAATAGCGTTTTGTTTTCTTAGTTGAAGAAAGCTTAGATCTAATCACCATAAAACGTTCTCTATAATTATACGTTTCTACGTCTATTTGTCTTGAGGAACTAATTATCTTGTTTTAGAAGTAGCGATTTAGTTCTTTTCATATTTATTTTGTAGGTTCAGTGCTTGATGACAAAATACTTCATGATTATCTTGAGCCTCTAAATCTCGGTCTACCCCAACAGAGAACTACTTAAATTCTGGCAGCTGTCTCACGTGACCCGTATCACAAATATGTCCTTTTTGTTGTTGTCACTCTTGTGCTTTTGAAGGGAAAGGTATGGGCAAACTATTATTTAGTGAGATGTTTTCCAACGCTCATCTTGAGTTGGGTGGAGGGGAGGGGGAGAGAATAACTTCATTGAATTATCGGCTTTATTAATTAAAATTAAGCATTGCGATTGGCCAATTCGTTTACGGGGTTAGTGGAGGGGCACAGGTAGCCATCAACCCTTGGCCTCCAACTTCGCATACGGTCAGTTTAACCACTACGTGATCGATGTTGTCTGATTATTATGCGTAATGTGTGTCTCTAAGCACACAAATTCGCCATAATACTAGATGGATCAGAGTTGGGTAAGAATTTCTGCACCAATGCTAAGCTGTAGTTCGCATTATCAAATTTTCATTTTTAATTTATACCATTCACTTTGCAACGATGAGTCATATGATAATCGCTCTTCCCAAACTTTAATGCGTGATTTGAACTGGTATTTCAGTCAACCAATATTCCGAAATGTCAGCAGAGCTGTTGACCGCATCTCATAGCGTGATCTAATTGCGTATTTTTTAAAAGGCCATTATTTTAATAAAAATAAACAATTAAAATGGATATGACGGTTATCTTGGGTTATAAATGATGCGAAAAGCAGAGAGTAATATCGTGTGATCAAAATTTTAGCTAACATTTCAATTTTTATGGACTTTTCCACTTATTTGGATGTGTGGGGTCCCATGCCTCGCCTTCGTTTGTATTCACCGATTGTCTAGAACAGTGGTGGAATTTCTTATCATTGACTTACTTGAAACATCTCTGTTGCTTACCTTTTACAATGTATGACTCGCTTTGGCTATGGTACAGTTAGGAGATCTTGATAATTTATTGTCTAGTCAAATCGACAAGTCATAGAGAAGTGTGCGGTAGCAACAGCCATCAAGTAAGATGCTACTAAGGCATTTGAAGTAGGCAAAACCAGGCCTGAACAGAAGTGTGCACGCCAAAACGCTGGCCAACATAGATATTTTCACACTCAGGTTTAGAAGTCGGTGCCAATCGTGATTAGGTGGTTACTTCATCGCATTGGCTTACTGACTCCATCTTATTGAAGGAACATTAACCGGGATCACATAGGAGGAATGAATCATTCTGCTAATGCTAATTACGTTTATATGCAAGCAGTCCATTGTGATGCGTCAGTCATTTCCGATCGTGGATATTTCTGCGTGATGAGTGGCAAAAATGCTCATTTCTATACCCCCACCTAGACCGCTTGTTGTGGGCTTATCTCAGCAATGGCTTATCGTTCACATCCGCTAGAAGACAGTTATCACCTGGTGTCTCTACCTCTTGTAGACTTTACGCACTTTCAAATTAACTAGAATTATCTATGAAATGTTCCACAGTCTAGACTTACTTAGACTAGTAGGGCAAGGAATTTGTTCGTGAAATGCAGAAATAAGGTGAGTAGCAGAAAGTTCGTCAAGATCGAGAAAAGTGGACATCTATTGCCATTTTGTCCACAATTATTTGACTAAGCATGAGAGACACAAAGGTGTATGCGTCCTAAACTAGTTTATACCCCATTGGGGTGTGCGATAGACTTACCTCCACGTGGTGCACCCTGGGCAACGTATACTCATACGGCAAGAAAATCTATTAACTGGCAGTTGACTTCTGACTTCAAACTACCATCACCCCACTGTATGTCATATTCGACCCCTTTCACAGTACTCATCTTACCTTTTCTATGCCTTTGTGTCTGTCTATCTGTCTCTTTTACATCTGTGAATCATTATTCTGTCCCCCCCCCCCAACTCGACTTTTTGTCACTTTGATGTTCCTCCTCCTCTCTGTGAAGCCCGAAGTTAGCTAAATGGCTAATGATAACTATCAAAATGCCTGCCATTTGAAATAAATAAATAAATAAATTTGGAGTTTGATTGTGAATCTCTGCATTTTAAGCAAGTAAGCAGTGTCAGCGTCTAATCACACATCAAGAATCCGTTCCCGAGACAAATTTTAAATTCGCACATCTATTAGACTAATTTCACATAATAGCGTCAATCAATCCGAATGATGGAAGCATGTGATGCCGAGATCTCGTAACTTGGTGTGAGCATGCTAGCGATGGCTTGATTGGTTGCCGAGTTGTATTTAAGAGATTTTGTGAATTTTGGGCTATTGCAAAATTTGGTTGTATTGAGGTCAAAAGCTCAAAAGAAAATATCATTATAAATAAATAACTTTCGTCTTTCAAGCGCCATCATGAGTACCTTTAAGGCATCCTCTTAGATACCCATACTTTACTGGTAAATATTTAATGCTTTGTTTCTAATTAGTGTCAATTAGTTTTTGCGTAATAACGACAATGCTATCATGTATTTAAGATCATTACACTAAACTACTTTAATGTTTTGTAAATTTGCTTTTTCTACAACTTAAGCATAATGAGCCGAAAGCCGTTCTCAAAATTGAAATCGAAATATAATAATTCCTTAAATAATTTTGCTAATGACAATCTTTCGAATGAAAATGTAAGAATCGTCGTACTAATTTTGTTAAAATCCGGTTTTTATATAAAATTTGACGTTTATTTAACATTTTAGATTCAGCAACCGAAAATACGGATGCGAAATCGATCTTTAGCAAGAACAAATCCTGGTAAATTTTAGTGCTTTTACATTTTCATTTTGAAACCATCGAACCTTATGTTTTTCACTACATATTACTTATATTACTGCTCATTGCTGAAATGTTCAAGCCTGATTGGTTAACTTGATTGAATAGAATGGAATAGGCTAGTTGCAAACAAATCCCTTGGTCGTAGCTAAGGTAAATAAACTCCTTACTAATGAAAAAAAGGAGATATGTGACTTTATAAATTTGTATCGATTGCTGATGTGTGCTTAAAAGTAGCTGAAAATTGATATATGGGTATCTTCAGTGTATGTGTGTGTGTATGTGACGACAAGCAAAAGTTGGCGCGCATGTACTGCTGGTATGACTAATCAGTGTAAAACACTCTAGTATAAAGAAACTGTGAACACACTTTAAACGAAATATGCTAAAGGGCCTTCTTGCTTAAATGTCTTCTTCAGGTGATACTCTGACACCACAGCATCTCCGTGGAAGTCCCGTTGGAACAAGCTCTGAAAGCACGAGGGTTCAACGTCTCCTTGACAATCAACGCAGTGGATTATCTGTCAATTCAAACAAACACAATATACGGCCCACTACCCTCGACTCTCTCCTCAAGTTGAATCCATCGGGGTTAGTGGATTTTTCTAAAGATTAACTTAGATATCCAAATTTTATAAGTATTTCAAAACTAGATAATGAACTTAAGGCATTTATTAAAGTTTCTGTGAGTTTCCTGATGTGAATGCCATTTTACTAACTTTTTTGTTTATCATAGGTAATTTCTTTGTTTTGACAAAGAGGGAACTGTAAAAATACTATTAAATGACATCACTGAAGTAAGGTGCAAATTGAGCAAGCAAGGAGTATTTGAAATAACTGTAAAATTGTGGTTTTTGTAAGATTCCTTCCGATTAACATTTATTGATTTGTGCATTATTATAAGAACAAGTTGTGGTTGTGTTCAAATTCGTGAGAAACGAAATACAGCGATCTCTGCCATGTTAAGCAAGTATCAACTATTTGTCTTGATGATTAGACAAGATAAATATTGATTGATTGATTGATTGTCAGACAGATCAGCACTTAAATAATAAAAACGTCATTCCGGAACCTATGTTTCGAGCTTTAAAGTTTTGACTAGACAATAACACATATTTTATTGCTTATGTAGAATGAACACAGTTAATTTTCAAAAATAAATTTATACGATCTCCCTAATACAGAGTAAGATCATTTTACTACCTCAGTCTTTGGAAGATATTTCACTTGCGTCTCAGCACTGAAAACAAGTTTACATTTTTGCCTTGTTATGGTTCATAGGAATGTTAATATAATGGTGACTTGAACTATACGGTGCTATTTTCAAAATTGGCAAACTTGTTTATCCAGAAACCAGGCTAACTGAGACACCTTTGACATTTATTTCAAATTTACCCCCCCCCCCTCTCTTCCACTTTGCTTAAAAGCTGCAGAGCCTTAATATTTTCGTGGAGGTGGTTTGGGAACTCACTTCTTTTCTAAGCCCGAGTTAAGGGATACTCAGGTATTAATTCCACAAATGCTTGACATTATACTGTGCTGTGTGAGAATACTATAAATTTTCATTTAAAAGATTTATTTATATCAAATGGCAGGCGTTTTGAT